GCACAGTCTCAAGAGCATGGAGGGGATTCCAGGAGAGAGGCAGTTACTCTAGGAGAGCTGGACAAGGCCGTAAAAGGTCCTTAACTCATCAGCAGGACCAATATCTGCTCCTTTCTGCAAAAATGAACAGGATGAGCCTGCCAGAGCCCTACAAAATGACCTCCAGCAGGTCACTGGTGTGAATGGCTCTGACCAATCAGAAACAGACTTCATGAGGGTGGCCTGAGGGCCTGACATACTCTAGTGGGCCCTGTGCTCACTGCCCAGCACCATAGAGCTCGATTGGCATTTACCATTGAACACCAGAATTGGCAGGTCCGCCACTGGCACCCTGTGCTTTTCACAAATGAGAGCAGTGTCACCCTGAACACGTGACAGATGTGAAAGGGTCTGGATAAGCCATGGAGAATGTTATGCTGCATGTAACATCGTTCAGCATGACTATTTTGATGATGGGTCAGTGATGGTCTGGGGGAGGCATATCCATGGAGGGACACACACACACACACACACACACACACTCTACAGGCTAGACAATGACAGCCTGACTGCCATTAGGTAGCAGGATGAAATCCTTGGACCCATTTGTCAGACCCTACACTGGTGCAGTTGCTTGCTCCTGATGCAGGACAATGCCCGGCCTCATGTGGCAAGAGTATGCAGCAGTTCCTGGAGGATGAAGGAATTGATACCATTGAATGGCCCCCACGTTCGCCTGACCAAAATCCAATAGAACACCTCTGGGATATCATGTTTCGGTCCATCGGATGCCACCAGGTTGCCCCAGGACAACATCCATTGTCTCATTTGGAGCATGCCCCGATGTCAGGCAAGCATGCAAGCATACAAGCACATGGGGGCCATACAAACTACTGAGTACCATTTTGAGTTGCTGCGATGAAATTTCAGCAAAATGGACTAGCCTGCTGCATAATTTATTTTCATTTTGATTTTTGGGGGGTGTCTTTGAATTCAGTCCTCTGTAGGTTAATAATTCTCATTTCCATCAAAGGATGGGGCATCCTTACATTCCTAATACATTACCCAGTCCATAGCAGTATAGATATCCAGCATGACATTTTGATCTGATGTGTTTTTTAAAGTGGTTCTTTAAAAATTTTTTATAGCAGTGTATTTATGTTTTATATAGTCTAGTGGTGCCTTTTTCAGTCTGAGAAACCCCTAAAATATTGTTATGATCGGCAGCTCATGGTACATTTATGTGATTAGTTGGATGCCGATATAAAAGCATAAAATATTACATTTTACTCAAACTGGTTTTTAGTACTCAAAAGAAACTATTCTGTTTTCAGTGGCATAAGAACCTCTGCCCTATAGCCTGCACAAAACATTCAAATGTTCTCCATTCCTATTGCCCTTAACCTCTTGGCGTCGGCCAAACGCAAACGTGTGGCCTCCCGGTGTCTGGGCCTAGATGCCGAGATGCTGCACATTTGCGCTCTATTAAAAAAACATGTGCTGAGAGCGTATGCTCTGCGCACTCCCAGCACATACGCTCGGTACTCACAGAAAGGTCCTGATCTCTTTCAATCGGGACCTTTCCCAATCATGTGACCACCGTGTCAGTGAACCACGGCGGACACATGACCCTAAAAACCGCCTCCCAGCGTCTGGAACCCTTAAAGGGCCGGGAGGCTCTAGCGCCAAGGGGTTAACTTATATTAACATTTCTCTTTTCCCTGCTTCCCCCACCATTCAAATTCACTCAAACTTTAGTATCTGAACCTACTCTATTCACCCATGTTCTACAGTCTTTCCCTACTCCATTATCCCTGTCAGATTTTAGCCAACACATTAGTTTCACACACACCTTTACACCCCAACTGCTCCTCCACTGAATTTCCTCTTTATTTTACACTCTGCAAATCCTCTATTCCTTTTACCCCCCAAACACGTTTTATCCTATTTCTCCCCTTCATTGCTGCCAGCCCTACTGTGTTGACAAACAGACTGTTCCTAGCTGTGGGGAGAACTTCGCTCTTTCCACTTTGTGCTCATTCTTTACTGAATGCTACATTATATTACTGTTGGCATCCCTGCAATTGCTTCCATTCACAAAAGGGATTGTTTAGCATAACAACTTCTCCCTCATCCTGGTCCTGCTTTCTTCATCATTCTTAGATTCCCTTATACCATCAACAGTTCACTCTGATCAGCTGGTCAAACTCCTGTGAACTGCTTGAACCACATCTCCTCCTCCTGAGTCCTTCTCTGCTTGGAATCCTGCCAGGGGGATACTAAAACCACCATTAGGCATATAGGAATCCTCTGTAATGGTGGCATTTGCTGAACACTAATATTCCAAGGAACCTTGGTTGAGTAACTGATGCTTATACAGATCTAAAGCCTGCCTGCTGTAGGCAGGTAGAACACTTTTGAAAATGTAGCCAACCCAAATTCTACACAATCCACTAATTAGATTATAGATACATGTTACATTGATTATATCTCCTGAAATGTCTAACCCCTACCAGGGGCGACTGGGATCCCATCACCATGCAAAGGAAAATTAAGTCAGCCTACATACCTCACAACCTTTACAATAAAAATTACTGTGATGATCAACTTTCCCCATATGGACATTTTTGGCTGAATGGGGCGCTGATCAATATCTATGAGGTGGCCCTCATTCTCATGCGATCATTCTTGGGGCCTAAAACAGGCTATAAAACAGTGTCAGATTGCTATTGTTTCACCCCAAAATGGGCAAACTGTCCACAGTATGTGAAGGCTTCTCCTGCTTCCTGAACAGAAGCAAATGCGATGTGAGCATCCCTATTTAGAATAGAAGCTTTGCTATAAGATGACATTAAATGACTTGAGTTGGGAATGACAATGTCTGATGTCACTAGACAGCTTTGAAATACCAAGACATTATGTATTTCTTTTAGGTAAGTTTGTCCCTTTAGGCTGCGTTTACACCTCTACATCTACGCACAAGCATTTTCCTGAATAAAAACCTGCATTTGTGCACGCTGCCATTTGCCTTTCATTCTGCATAAAAGTGTCTTGAAGGGTTTCCAATAATTTCAATAAAAACACACAAGGGTGAGCCCATTTGTTTAGTTTTGTCAACACAGAACTTAAGACCAAAGACCGAATAACAAGTTCCATCTTTTTATTCATACAGTATGAAGATTTCTACAGTTCCTACAAGTTATATAGCATGCAAAGGAAACAAACAAAAAGAAAAAAAACATTCAACATTAACCATTCCCCTCACACAAATTAAAAAAAAAAATCTCCAATAAAGATGCTTGCTATCTGAAAGTCAGCCAAGGTATGCACAAGCATTAGAAATAGCATCTGCTAAAATGTTTAAACACAATGTATGTACAAAAAAATAATAAATTCACAAAAGACTAAATCCCCCTTGTAGCAGAGCACATGGCAGCTGACACTGGAACAGAAGACCACTGGCTGGGATAATGAACCACGGACTGATCCAGAGGAACAAACTTAATGTGTGTAGTGGAGATTTTTTTTTAGGTTATTGAACATCAACATGTACCAAAGTTTGGCAATTTCTTTTTTTTATTTTAATATTTTATATATATATATATTTATATATAATGCAAATTATGTAAACAAGAGGAACATTTCAAAAAAATCGATCTACATGCAAAACTCCATGTCATGCAAGGACACCAAGCACCTTGATTTCTCTCGCACAGACAGAGCCCATGGTGTGCAGCACTCAGTTGAAGGAACAGCTATGGCAAGCAGGCAATACTTTTACCTGCCCTTACTAAATCATTAATAAAATGGATATGCTTTCAAGAGCAAAACAAAAATATGTATATATATATATCTGCATTTGGTTTTACTTGTTTTCCATCCAATAGTACCACAGCAGAAAAAAAAAAAAAGGAGAGGTGGAAAAAGTTAAGAGTGTCTCACTACTTTTATATCACACATGATGGGAGTAATTAAGGACAGAGCAGAACAAAATGTCTTATTTTCACAAAAAGTAACAGAAAACATTCCACCAGGACAAAGAACCTCTCCTATAACCAATGTACATATATCGTTACCAGTCATGCTGCCTGCAATAGTCTGTTCAATTCAGTTGGCAGGTAGGAGTGAATAAATCCTGAATTCTGTTAAATCGGCTTATATAAAAGGGACGGGGTCCTTGAAGGGTGTATACCTGCTGCAACTGATGGAATAGTACAATTTGGGTGACTTGCTTCAGCAACTCTGGAAAGCAGGAGATATAGGTTCTGTGCAGTTGCTATATGCATTAACAGTTCTTCACTTGGCAGTAACATTCAACTAATAAAAAAAAAGAAAAAAAAAAAAAAAGCAAGAGACACAGTCCCTGGTAATATATTAACATGTATAAATTAACATACAAATTTCCTGTGTTAAAAAAAAAAAGTTAAGTACATTAACAGGATGCAACAGAGTTGATCAACCAGTTAATATACAAAAAAAAATAAGATACGAAACACGTTGACCAGACACCCAGTCAAAGTATACATTCTTCTACAATATATATATATTTATATAAAACTGTGTGAAATAAAAGTAAGGATTTATATTCATGTATTGAACGGCTTATGTTCTGCTTGGCACTTTTTACTCTAGTTTTTGTTTTGTTGTTTCTTTTACTCAAGTAAATTAAATTAAAGCCCACCTAATGACTACATAGAAAGTTATATATATAATTCTTGTTTATAAAAGATGAGGAAACAAAAATAAATAGAAAAAAGCCAACTCCCTTCTTTTTCTCCATCACACTGATATGCTCCTCCCCATTGTGCTGTCCTTCAGACTTTAAAGTGCTACACCAAGTTATTGAGAGAATAAAAAGTTCAATAACACTTAAGTTGGCTTCATGAGGCTCATGTTGGAAAATGTGGCTTCACAGAGAAAAATACTTCCATTTAAAATACACAGAGAGCGTTGCTGGACGTCTTGAGCAGATCTTCAGAGATGGAGAAGAAAGCATAAGTGTTGGATGTTGTTCTGAAGAGTCACACATCGACCACCATCTTTTTGTGGATATCTAAACCACCTACGACCTGCAGAGGAGAGGACAATGGGATGTCAGAAAAACTAGGTATTTGCTGATATCACAGAAATTAAGGTTTTTTCTGGACTTGAGCAGATATATCAGTACATGCTAATAAAATACTATAGCAGTAGGAAGCAGTGGTCAGTAGGTCAGAAATTGCTAAAGAAACCCCTAGCAACCTTAGGAGGAACCCTGGTTGAGAAACCCTGTACTGTAGTCAACCAAACACATCTTTGAAACTTTAAGGCTACATTTGCATGGGCGACCAGAGCTGGTGCAAATGATAGTGGCAGTAATTTGCTGATTCTTGCAGCGGTTTCAACAATCAGTGAAAAGCTAATTGTGGTCACCGAGCCCTGTACAATTCAATGACAGATTGGTGGCAGTCACAGCTATTTGTGGCTATCCACCCAGCTAGCAACTACCTGTGATGAGCACTGCTGGACACACTTTGTACCCTGCCTGGTCAATAGACAATAAGTCAGGGTTATAGGCTTTGTTCAGTCACCATGGGGTCATCCTGACCCTTAAAGGTATAGATCTGAACAAGGAAAAAGTGTACACTGGGACACAGTGGCTGCAAAGACACAGCCACTTCTCTCAATTTGACATCTGTGCAGGTCCCCGATTGCACACTATCTGCATTCAGGGACTGGCACTAGTACTCAACATGGCTCTGAAACTGGGAGCAGTGGCTGTATACCAATCATGAATAGAACTGTCTGCACAGGGATGTACGGAACATGACAAACATATCCCATGCACAGCTGTATGCCCAAGTACAGTCATATGATGAGGCGTCCCCCCCCCCCCCCCCCCCAACCATCACAACAGTCGTACAAGTAGATGTACTTTTTCCCCATCTTAAGAAACGCCCAATGCTAAAAAAAAAAAAAAAAAAACCCAAACACAAAAAATTAATGTAATGTTCAGGAGGGGTCTCTGGATTTAAATTTACCAAAAATACTGTTTAAGGGCCCGTTCGCATTAATTGGAGAGCTGCTTCACAGTAAACTGTGCTACTGTCCAACAGCTGTCTGCTCTAGCGGCAGTAGGGGGAGGTGTGGTGCGCAAATCAGAGCATCACACATCTGCCTTTTTTTGTGCCAGCTTTATTTGAAGTGTAGAAAAGTTGCACCATTTTCATGTTACAGTACAGCAGCAAGGTGTACTGCTGAACAGTGACATGTAATCCTGTGCAGTGTGCTGCGATAAAATGCAGCATGTCTGAGTTTCAGTGTGAATAGGATGCACAGAAAACAACTGTACGGTGTTCACCACTTTAAAGATTTCAAGGCACATTGTATTTTATTGCACTTAACGAAATGTCCTCTAATTGCACAGTGCAAGCTATTCTAAACAAAAGAAGATGCCTATATATAAGCTTGCACCAAACCAACAATTAAAAAGGTAAGACCTTTTTCAAAAATGATTTTTAGGTATGCTGTCTGAGTGGAAACAGCAGGTGTTAGAGAGGGGGGGATATGATGTAATCCCCACTGCTCTCTCTGCAGTAAAAGGAAAATACTATTCCTATTAACCACAGGGAATAAATAGTGAATGTGGGTGGGCACACTAGGCGTGTACATGTTGAATGTGTCTGAGAGTCTCGGGTCCGCCCACTACTGCAAGTGGGGCTGAATTACATTGCTACATCATGGAGAATGAACTACAGAAAAGATGTGCCAAGACCAGTGGATGGGGAATAGGAGGCACAGCAGCCATCAGTCTTACAAACAGGAAAGCAAAGAGAATTAATGGTTTGATTTGAAAATGAATGGGCTATTTCATCGCAACTATTGAGTGAACCAGAAGATGGATGACATTCAGTGTATGTAGGAAATCAACAAGGACATAATAGATCCAAGATGTTGCCATAAAATGTACCTGTCACTGGTGTCTACACACCCGTGTTAAACTGTCAGGTTTCTGTGATGTAAAAAATGAGACAAGGATAAATCATTTCAGAAACTTTTCCACTTTTAATGTGACCTGTAATCTGTACAACTCAATTGAAAAAACAAACAAATCTATTTTTTTTTTTGGGGGGGGGGGGGGTGTAAGCTTAAAAAACTAATATAATGTTGTTGCATTAGTGTGCACACCCTCTTATGACTGGGGATGTAGCTGTGTTCAGAATTAAGCAATAACATTCAAAATCATATTAAATAGGAGTCAGTACACACCTGCAATCATTTAAAGTGCCTCTGATTAACCCCAAATAAAGTTCAGCTGTTCTAGTAGGTCTTTCCAGATATTTTCTTAGTAGCATCCCACAGCAAAAGCCATGATCCGCAGAAAGCTTCCAGAGCATCAGAGTGATCTCATTGTTAAAAGGTATCAGTCAGGAGAAGGGTACAAAAGAATTTCCAACCCATACGAACATTGAAGACAGTCATCGTCAAGTGGATGAAAAACAGTGAGATTACCAAACTGGACGTCTCCCCAAAATGATGAAAACATCTGAAAACTGGCTGAGCGGCTGCCAAGAGGCCTACAGCAACATTAAAGGAGTTGCAGAAATATCTGGAAAGTACTGGCTGTGTGGTACATGGCAATCTCCCGTATTCTTCATATATGTTTGTGCTATGGGGTAGAGTGAAAAGATGGAAGCCTTTTCTTATGAAGAAAAACATCCCAGCTAAGTTTTGCAAAAACACATCTGAAGTCTCACAAAAGCACGTAGGAAAATAAATTAAGGTCTGATGAATCCAAAGTTCAAATTTTTGGCCATAATTCTAAAAGATATGTTTGGCGCAAAAACACTGCACATCACCAAAAGGACACCATACCCACAGTGAAGCATGGTGGTGGCAGTATCATGCATTGGGGATGTTTTTTCTTCAGCTTGAACTGGGGCCTTAGTCAAGGTAGAGGGAATTATGAACAGTTCCAAATACCATTCAATATCGGCACAAAACCTTCAGGTTTATGCTGAAAGAGAACATTCCTCTTCATGATCAGCTTTCTAGCAGAACGACCCAAAGCATACATCCAAATCAACAAAGGAATGGCTTCACCAGAAGAAGATTAAAGTTTTGGAATGGCCCATCCAGAGCCCAGACTTGAATCAGATGGAAAATCTGTGGGGTGATCTGAAGAGGGCTGAGCACAGGATATGCCCTAGCAATCTGACAGTTTTGGAGTGTTTTTGCAAGGAAGAGTGGGCAAATATTGCCAAGTAAAGATGTGCCATTCTGATAGACTAATACCCAAAAAGACTGAGTGCTGTGATAAAATCAAAAAGGTGCTTCAACTAAGTATTAGTTTAGGGGTGTGCACACTTATGCAAACATATTTGAGTTTTTTTTTATTTTTACTTCCCTCCACCTAATAGATTCCAGGTGGTTGCTCAACTGAGTTGTACAGTTTATAGGTTACATTAAAGGTGGAAAAGTTCTGAAATGATTTATCTTCCTGATTTATTTAACCGCCTCCCCCCTTCCATATAGTAATATGACGGACGCAAGGTGGTTCTCTTGTTCTTGGAGGACGCCTCCCATTCGCATGCACGGCTCCTGGAGCGCAGCGATCGGCGGTGCGCTGTGTCCCTCGGACACAGCAAATCACCGATCCACAGAAAGAGCTGAAGATGTCGGCTCGGTCATGTGATCAGCTGTGTCCAATCACAGCTGATCACATGTAAATAGGGAAATGCCGGTTATCGGCATTTCTCTCCCCACGAGCTGTCACGCTGACAGCTCGTGAGGAGAGGAGAGCCGGTAATTGGCATTCCTCGGAGGGGACATGCACACAGATCATCAGAGCACTGATGATCAGTGTGCCCTGATGATCTGTGTAGGCCTAGCAGTGCCACCTGTCAGTGCTCATCCATGCCACCTGCCAGTGCCCATCAGTGCTGCCCATCAGTACCAGTCAGTGCCACCTATCAGTGCTGCCTTTCAGTGCCCAGTGATGCCTGTCAATGCCCATCAGGTGCCACCTACCAGTGCCTCCTCATCAGTACCCATCAGTGCCACCTATCAGTGTCCATCAGTGCAGCCTATCAGTGCCCATCATTGCAGCCTCATAACGCACATCAGTGAAGGAGAAATCACTTATTTACAAAATTTTATAACAAAAACTAAGAAAAAAAAACATGTTTTTTTTAAATGTTCAGTGGTTTTTGGTTTAAGAAAAAAAAAAAAAACCCAGAGGTGATTAAATACCACCAAAATAAAGCTCTGTCACAAAAAAAATGATAAAAAATTTCATATGGGTACAGTGTTGCATGACCGCGCAATTGTCAAAGTGCAACAGCGCTGAAAGCCGAAAATTGGCCTGGGCAGGAAGGGGGTATAAGTGCCCTGTAGGCTAGTGGTTAAATAAAACACTTGGTAGATAAATCCCTCTGTGCAGAACTATTTTCCTGCTCACTCTTGATCCTGTTCTTGCAGGCAAACACATCAGACAAAACTACGGTAAACAGCAACTTTACAATTACATGTTTATATGCCAGATAAAGTAGGACCAATTATTTATTTATTTTTACTTCCACCATTTCACAGCTTTAAAAAAAAAAAAAAAAAAAAAAAAAAAAAAAAGAAAAGACCTGCCAGTATCTTGAAATTGGAGAGGTGGCAAATTCCTGAACAGTTCAGCTCTTTTCAGAGTGTTCCTCGTCACTCAGCAGTTAAAGCAGATGAAGTTTCGGCTAGGACTGCATTCACTAGAAATAAAAAGTAAAGACAAGAATAATCCTAACAGATACTCACAGCACAGAATTCTTCAAAAGATATTCTCCCATCACCATCTTTATCTGCATTGATAATCGTTTTGTCTACTATTTGTTGTAACTGTGTGTCTTTGAGGTTGTTTCCGACCATCATCTTCAACACCTGGAAAAGCTCGCCGTTTGAGATATAGCCATCCTTGTCCATGTCATATATACGGAAAGCAACTAGGGAAGAGAGGAGAACAAAACTTTAAAATTCATGCACAGATACTAATACAAAGCTCCAAAGTGCCCCATTTTGGGTAGACAAGCAATTTTGGAGGCCTCTTACATGCACAATTTTAATTTTGGTCACCTAAAACAAAAAGGTTACAGGAAACCTTTAATGAAACAAGCATGATGGCTGCCATTATTGATGTCTTATACTAATGTTTGTTGCCTGGTTGTCAAGATGACCCTTTTTGCTTAATACCTTTTAAACGAAATCCCATAATAACTACACAGGTAAGAATTTCTGACAACTGATCTGCATTCTTACTCTTACAGTCATCAACTGAAAAGATTGACGCTACTGAAAACAGTATGATAGCCAGGCACTCTGCATTTTAAGAAGGTTTGTAATTTAGGCATCGTGTGCCATCAGCTCTGTTTTTATAGTGTTTAAGTTCCTGTTAAAGTGGTGGACCTTACAACAAAAGACAAAACCTGCCCCCAACTCCTTAACAAAATACAATCTTATGTTCCTAAAGCAACCCTACTCAACAATTTACAGGGCCTCACCAGAATGACTGCATCGTTACTTCACCTTCTCCATTGCAGAAGCCTGGGTTCGGATAACTGTATTTATTAAACCTCCCTCCACCCAAACTGGCAGAGACAATTATTTTGAGGATGTGAGAGCAAAAAAAACTGCTCAGCTCATAAGTGGCAACCCAGTGACCCTGACAGAGAGGGAGGAGATATCAAAACCCAGGCCAGTGTATGAGGGTTGTAGATCAGGGAGACCTCTGAAGAAAAGGGAGTCCATGTAATGGAGCTAGAGCCCGCACATAGCAAGTATAGTTTCAATCACCTTGAGTGGAGGAACCGGGCACTGGTTGTCCCAAAGGAGTCCACCAGCAGAACATTCACAGGGAGATGCAACAGAAGGGTGCCAACGGCAGTATGTTCAAGAACGTGGTATCAGTGATAGACAAAATGTTGTGCTGATGGTAAAGTAAATATAATGATCTGAGGATAAGACCCAGATATCCCATACAGTACAAGGGTGAGGGAAAAGCCACAAAATGTCATGGTGTCCACCACAGGGAAGTGAGAGTATCCATGTTTAGGCCCAAGGTTCAAAGCTTTGATTTAGGAGTCTTGTCAAGAAAAAAGGTCTCTAAGGCACCCTTGGACATGAAAGTTCAGGTTTTGAATAAGGGTCTAAAGTGCTACAGGTGTGGTGAATTCAGTAGTGTAAAAACTACACTGAAGTGTGGATAGATGGGGAGTAAAACCCATCACAATGTGGTTGCTATAAACGTTGGAGGATCTTTAATATGAGAGATATAGTGGTAGGTCTATAAAACCAGGAATAAGCCCTACTGCTGTAGTAGACTTAGTGACAAGTCTAGGGGAGGCTGGTTACTGCAGCAATTAGAATAGATGTTTTTGGACTATGATGGGACATGCATTGTTAAGTGGATAAGTCCATATGTGCAGGATTTTGAAAAGCCCTTTCAATTTTCATAAAACGGAAGAATGTGACCACCCCTGTGATTATAAGCTGCAGTTATCCCACTTCCACCATTGTTTCTGTACTCCATTTATTTGGACCGTGTGCTCCTATTAAATGGTTTTAAAATATACTATGATTAGAGCTGTTTGCCAAAACATGTAAGCTTCAATTGCTCACCTGCTGCCATTTTACTGCTTGTGCTAATAAAAGCCATGTTTTATCTTTTTGTGGAGTGCGCACATTTCTATCTTGGACACTATAGTATCACTTGTTGGGGATCAGTATTTTGGGCTGCGGCACAAACTTCTACACCTACCTTGTGCCTGGTTTCAGGGGTGGAGACGGTTTTGGGACTGCGTGCAGGGAAAAATAGTCTACCTTGTGAAGCAGCAAAAATTAACTGGGAAGAAGACAGCGATAGAGACTGTGTAACTCTCTCAAGGACAGTGTAAAATACAAGACCAGGACATCTTTGCTCTAACATGGAGCAATGGCCAAAAGACACCCCTCTCGTCCCCTTTTGTCAAGGGGTGGGGCAAAGCTTTAATGCTCATGTTTTTGAGCAGGTCCAGGGACTTAGCAGTGCAGGGTCTGCCACGAGGTGAAAAACCTGTTGTAGGTGAAAACTCCTCAAGGAGGTGAAGAAATCATGTCTGTATGCTAGGGGAGGCCCAATGAATAGGGAAGTGTGAGTGAGAAATGTAGGGTAAAAATACCTTTCCCTCAGTAGCCACCATAATGTATTCCTCAAGGGAATTTCCAAAAATAGCTCACCTTCAGAGGGCAGGTTGAAAAAAGCACATTCAATAAGGGAGATCTGCTTACCAAGCTTTAAGCCATGAAATTCTGGAGATCTGATGAATCAAGGCCTTCATGTGATCTCCACAGAAAAGCAACACTGAGGGCAAAAGTTGTAATCTTGTAGCAAGATTCGGACTATCTATAGATTCTGTACAGTTTTAAAATAAGTATTTTTGTTGAAGTACTGTCTGACACCACAAAACAATGAGAAAAATGACCAGGCTTGTAACAAAGGTGGGTCTCAGTGTAAATAGAGATCAGTTCTGCAGTTGCACTTACTGCACAGTGATCAATGGCCATTTCTAAGCACCAAATAACTACTCTAAGTGGAGACAACATTTGGTATTCAAGAAACCTAGACAGCATTTAAACCCTGAACTCATCCAGGACTACTCTCAATACACTTCCAATTGTAAATAATTAGATCTTAAATTATGTGGTAGATGCTTCTCAATGTAACTGTACTGCCCACATAAACCAATCAGCTATGACATTATGACCATTTACAGGTTTGCTGATTGTCTTGTTGCAAAGGCATCTGAAAGTCAGTAGGAAATATTAGGCAGCAAGTAAACATGTTGTCCATGAAGTTGATTTGTTGAAAGCAGAAAAATGGGTTTCAAAGTTTGTGTATGGGGCTGTGTAGCCACAGACTGGTCAGGGTGCCCATGTTGACCCGTGTCCACAGCTAAAAGCCCTTACAAATGGCATGTGAGCATTAAAACTGGACCAAGGAGCAATGGAAGAAGGTGACCTGTTCTACTGAATCATGTTTTCTTATCGGGAGCATGGCCGTGTGTGTTATTCACCTGGGAAGAGATGGCACCTGATGTACAGGAACATAAATTCTTCATATCTCCATCCAATCAAACATCTGTGGGATGTGCTTGAAATACAAGCCCCATCCATTGAGGCCTAACCTCCCAACTTACAGGACTTAAAGCATATGCATACCCTCACCTTGTAAAAAAACAACCCAGTTAAAAAAAAAAAAAATTAAAGCTACATTTGTGTATAGATATTAAAAAAAAAACAAAAAACAACATTATAAATACCTTTTCCCCCCATTTTTTATTGGTGATCACATACCCTCTGTTCTCAGGTGCATAAGGAGCAGGGGTGGAGAAACAACAGTGCAATAATCTTTCCAGTGAAAGGCTGCGTGGGGTAGGGGATTGTCAGGACAAGTCTTAACATTTGTGGAGAACACAGTGTTCTCAACATTGCTAGAGATCTAACCACATTTCTCTCATACTTCGTGTGCAAAGTTTTTGACAGAAAAACAAAGGGACTGGCAGGAACACCAGGTATTTCACACAAAAAGATACAAAATACAAAAGAGACCAGGATACTTTTTCATACAAGCACATGGTACAACATGCACATATCAGAAATACGAAATGTAGGGTTTACATATTCTTAAAAGGATCTGCTACTAATGACCTTTAGAAGTCTAGTGGCAACCATGTCTCGGTGGGTCAAGGCTGTTTTGGTGGAAAATGGGCAATCTATTCAATATTAGGTGGGTGATCATAAAATTATGGCTGATAGGTGGATATGCTTATGCCTAAAAACTAGTGATGATGTTGGTCTCCGATTCCAGAAAACTGGAAGGTAAGCAAATGCAAAATGTGCCTCATGTTTCAAAGTGTCAATGGTACATGTGTCTGCAATGCCCTGAAATAACCAAACTAAGGCCTTCATTCTTCAATTCTGAATTTGACTCCTGTTTACAATAGGTGTTGCAAGGGGCAAGGGTCTCTCTCTGGAGTTAGTGGAGTTCCCACTAATAAGCAGAGCACAGTGTGCTGAAATTGTAGGTAGCTCATTTTGCTACTCACACCAATGTCTCTGCATTTTAGAATCTTTTCACTACCATTAAATGCAAAATGGGAACTTTCCTGCATGGGAACTTGTTACACGCTGGCTCCATTTGTGTACCTCATTGTTTCACTACTTTGACTAAGCACCAGCAACAAATAAAGGCTGGAGCTTAGACTCCATCATTGCCTTCTGACACATTCAGGTGCACAAAAAAAAAAAAAAAAAAAAAAAAGAACCAGTCTATTTGACATCACATATCCTGAGTGGGCCAGAAATACCAAAGATGTTGAAACCTGGATGCAGAGATGCACTTTAAAGAGTCACAGATTCTTTGGGTTCTGTAATGATTATGCGCAACAGAGACATGGAAGCTGTACGTGACAATCATCTTGCTAAGGTCTCAGTCATTTTGTTTTTTCATGAACAATCATCTTTCTCCCCTCCTCCCTCCTCATGAAAATGGAATTTGTGGATGTAAGTTTTAATGAACTTCAAAAGAGCCTCTTCTCTTAAATAAAACACAAATAGAGGCCAGCTCCAGAGCAGTAAACCGCTAACTAGTCTTGGCAGGATGTCTATTTTGCAAAGACACTTTCCTCTGCCCCATCGTAAAACAAGAAACTCAGTCCAGCCATCACACGACCTGTTAGGCCATTAGAGTTTAGGAATGCGCGTGCCATAAAAAGTCTATAGCACATGTAACAATTCCCCATACATTTCATAGAATTCAACAGGAACTGGGCACATTAATATCAGGTATATATTTGAATAGGGCATTTCATGCCAAACAAATCTAGGTCATACATGACTATGTTAGCACATAGGAAAGGGGAGAAAGCAGTCCCTTCCCTCCTGGGTGACAAAGGTACGCTGTGTTTGG